ACCTTTTGTCACACTGTCAAGAGTGGTAGATGGATACCATGTGGTATATATATATATATATATATATATGTGTGTGTGTGTGTGTGTATATATATGTAAGTATGTATGTATGTATGTTTACTCCATTTCTGATCCAGACTGTAACTTTTTCATGATCTATCATGGAAAAAACCAGCACTGAGGAAGTTTTCTAACCACTTCTCTTGCTCACTCTGGCTGGGTTTTGCAGTCACCCATTGCAGTGTCTCCAGTAAAAGACCTTTCCAGACCAAAGAACCAGTGCCCCCCCCTTCATTGAGTGGAACATGGGAGACCCCCTTACCACTTACCAGTTCCTAGCTGCTGGGGTGGTGGACGATAGAGAACCCTCACCAGTTGGACTGATTATGGTGAGAAGTGGTGTGGTGGTGATACAGTTAATGTAGTGCAGGTCACTTCTCATATACATCACTCATGCCACTTGTGCTCTCCTCCTGCAACCAGTGTCTGTTCAGTAGAGTTGAGGTGAACACACTCTATACAGGCCCATACTGCTTAACCATAGTGCCTTCCTCCCACAGCTGGAGTACATCCAATAGAGTTGAGACAAGCACACACTATATGATACTATGATGTCTTACTAACTTGCCTTCCTCCCACAGTTTGAGTCCGTTGCAATTTTTTAATGAGTGAATAAAGGTTTTAAAGCTTAGATACAACCACTGATGTACCACAAAGAGAAATTAGGTGACTTTCAGTAATAACAGTGCAATTGAGCCTTTGCAGTTAATCAGTTGGTATCTGTTAAATAATAAGTATGCCTAAGTCTTTACAAAATGTTGAATAATACTGAAACACTATGTTTACTAGTGTTTATTTTTTACAATCTGTTACAATGGCTCAAATAAAATGGACATTGCTGATTCTTCCTGTTTTATGATTTTCTTTGTCCACCTACTAGAGTATTGAGTGGTTTAAACGGGTGATCAGAATTTTAAATTGTATTATTTTCTTTTGTTTCCCTATATGTCTTTACTATTTTAATTAATCACTTTCACTCACTCTGTATCACTTTTCTGTATCATAATATTGGATTATTTTATGTTTGTAATGTAAAAGTAGCTGAACATCAGATGCACCAAGCAAAAATAGTAATTTATATAGAAAAAAACAACAGGAATATTGTGGTAAATGGTAAAACAGATTTACTGTTGCCTATATATCAATTCCATAGCACCAGGTTCATAACATAGAAATTTGTATATTACTGTAAGTAGGAGATGCATGAAGAAAAAAACAATAATTTTTTTATAAACTTTTTATACCGTATGTTTTTTTATTTTAGACCTGGATCACATCGCTACTTGTGGAAAAGAGGGAAATTTCTAGAAGAGCTTATTGACACTATAAGCCCGAGTAATAAACTTTCTGAATTGTGTTACAAATCAGGGTGAGTTTAGCACCTCTGCATCTTGTAATAAACTCTATACTATGTTACAAGTCAGTGTGAGTACACATTTAAAGTAATAAACTTTCCAAACTATGTTATGAATCATGGTGAGTTTTATTTTTAACCCTAACACATCCAGTGAGCACCTTTCATGCATTGAGTGCACTCCTGCATGTCGAATTTAGTAAAAATATTTAATAATTCTATATCTCTTTCAACAATTTTTAACTCCAAAATACTTTAGATTGATATTGTGTAAATTTGCAAAGGAAAATTAAAAAATGTTCCAACTTTTAATTTCTGTGCAGCTCCAATGAGTCTTGCCTGTAAATAACACACTTATTAATTTTTTTCTGGAATTTTTATCTGTCTGTATGAATTATGGTACACATCAGGATAAGATTGAAAATTTGTTAGCTGGTAATATTTTTTCTAATTGTATTAAAATTATCCTGCATGTATCTAACACATTTGAACCTTGCAATAAACGTACCAAACAATGTCACAAATCATTATGTGTTCAACACTAGAATCTTCTAATAAATTTTCGAAATCATATTATAGGTCAATGTGAGTTTGATCCTTTTGAATCTTATAATAAACTTTCCAAAATTGATTACAAATTATTTCAAACACCCACGAATAGTGTGTTAGTACCCAAAGAATGATAAAACTGGATTTATTGCTAAGTGTTAATATAATATTATTAAACTTAGTTTTATTCAGCAGACTGTGCAGAATGATGCGACCATTTTCAGAGACTACTAATGCCATAAATATTAGAAACGTAAAGACATTTTTCTAAAGGTGAACAATAGTATAATTTCATTTCTTTTATAAACAAAGAAATAAACAAACCATGAGCCCACCACAAAGGTTTTACAATTAATATCTTATGGGATGGTAACCTTTACTTTGAGCATTGTATTAGACATGGATTTATAATGGGTGATAGTCAAATCACTACATTAATTTGCCATTCTAACAGATAAATGTACTTAACAAATGTAGCCCTCTTGTGCTTTAAAACCAGTGTCTTTTTCACAGTATTACACACTTATTGAATAGAATAATTTTCTTCACTAAAATGCCTCTCATTGGCTCAGTACACATTAAGTCTGAAGGCTTAGGTTTTGATACCTGTGGTGTACACAGCACAAGTAACCCATTGTATAGGTTTGTGCTTGACAATAAACAAACTTCTCTGCAACATTGCTATTTTTAATAGTATTACGTTTACTAAATAGTATCTTTTTGTTTTATTTACTGTATGGTACTCACTGAATTAAAAATATCTCGTGGGTTTTAATTTAGTTAAACAAATTTTAAGCCTAACATTTCTTTCATATGTTGCAGTTCAGAAATATAGATTATGTTTTTCTGTTTCTTAAGAGTTAAGTTTGTAACATTTAATAACATGGATATCAAAGTGATACTTTGTTTCACCTAGAAATATGTTTCCAAACAGAACTTTTTTCTATCCATTTTTTAGGTATTGGCTAGGCTATATACATATATTGAAAAAACAGTCTCTCCACGAACAGCTTCTGTCTACAGTCCTACAGCTTGGAGATATAGAACTTTTGTATCAAGTTGGCATTTTATGTAAGTCTAAAATAGTTTATTAATAGTATTATATGCTGCGATATATTTTGACTGATTATATTGCTTACTCTTGTCTTTCTAAATATAGAACATGTATGAAAAATAGCAGTAAGTTGCCATCAGTGACCTGTTGCCTCCTGTCGTAGGTGGTTTGAAATTACAGATGGTGACACACTACTTGGATTGCACACTGACAATATTTAATATTTTAATTTCCTAAATTTATTTTATTCATTCTTTCTTTTTAGCTGCTTTGTCCAATTATCCAGAAAAGTGGCAAAACCTACTATTTCTGTTATCACAAAGACAGACTGTAATGGGAGAAGTTCTTTGTTTGACCTGTGGTAACAGCTATTCAGAACTAACACCCTTTCCTAGCTCTTCTGCAGAGACACCTACTAACTGGAAAGTAACCATCAGTTGGGAAAAGATTGGAAAGTTACTTGTAGAAGCTCTTGACTCATCCACAGCAGTTAAACTTCTCCAGGAATCCAAGATCCCAGTTGGTGGCTTGTCTGCCAGTTTCTACCAAGCCTGCATTCTCTCACATCTGATAGAAGTACAGCAAAGGTAAGGATGTCGGTTTGAAATTATTAATATCACGATCACAGATGACAAGTAAACATGACATCTCTATTATTATTTTAGTGTTGTTTATGAAAAAATCATTTTCAGCTTCTTTTTATCTTGCTGTTAGATAGAACATTTAATGATGTTAGAAAAACACGTAGGTTCAAGAAATCAATACTCTATAACCCAAGCATTATTGAAAGGTCCACCATTTGAAAGCACATGGGTTACAGAGTATTGTACTTTTGTGTTAAGTAGAACATTTAATTGTTTCAAAAATAATTGATTTCTTTTTTATGTCTGTAAAATCTAATATGAAAAACTTTTTTTTTCTATTTTAGTGCCTTGGCTCACAGAATGTTGTCACGACTGGAAAGCTACCTTTGGTCCCGTCGACCTACCACAATTTCTCCTGAGGTTTGTTCATCTAAATTAAAATATTTTAATAGAATGAAGTGTTAATATTTTTTGTAGAGTTAAAAGTAAACAAACTAGAGTAATAAAGCTTAGCACCACTCTACTTCATAATTACTTTAAGAATCTATAGAGGGGTAGAAATGTATTATTTTACATTTTCTTGCTGACCAATCTCTTTTAATTATAAACAGTTTTCTTAAGGTACTTTCAAGTTAAGTATCTATATAAATATAATAGTACTGTCTGTTGTATGTCCATGTAACTACTTTGTAAGGTGTGGATGGATTTTCAGCAAAATTAGTATGGAGATTCATTAGGTCCATACAAATTTTCAGTTTGGCATTTTGCAGTTTTTATGGGCGTTTTTGCAGTTTTTACCACTATTTTGCCCCTTATTGATGGATCTTCACCAAATTTGGCATGAAGGTTTGTTGGGTCCATGTGGAGATATATGCAAATTTGCAGTTTCATATTTTGTGGTTTGCAGTTTTTTGGGCATTTTTGCATTTTTTACAATTACATATAAGGGAAGCAACTTTTTATGTCCTGAGATAACCTTTCATTAATCATGAATTTACATAACTTCTGTCCAGGGTACAGGTACTCCAGCTGGTATAGTTAATAAGTATCAAGTATGAAAGAAATATTATGAAAAGCATATTAACAGACATGCATTTTTTGTTTTGTTAATAGAAACGTTTCTGAATTAGACTGGATATGGATCTTATTCACCTGACATAACCTTATTATACTTAATAACTAATATGCAGAACACTGACATCCAACATTTTGATATCTTGTAGTTCCAATGGCTGTTACAGAATTACTGACATCCAACATTTTGTTACCTTGTAGTACAATGGCTGTTACAGAATTACTGACATCCAACATTTTAATACCTTGTAGTACAATGGTTGTTACAGAATTACTGACATCCAACATTTTGATACCTTGTAGTACAATGGCTGTTACAGAACACTGACATCCAACATTTTGATACCTTGTAGTACAATGGCTGTTACAGAACACTGACATCCAACATTTTGATACCTTGTTACAATGGTTGTTACAGAATTAAGGAAATTGTGATTTACTTTATTCATTTGTTTGTTTTTTCATCTTATGTTGATAATTATTATTTATGAATATACTATGCCAAGCAACTCAGTCATTACAAGTAGGCTAGGTAGAAATACAGAAATATGTTCCTGTAGTATATCTACGAGTAGTGAAGTTGGATAATGGCACTATCAAGAATTTTATGAAGATCATTATGCAGTCACATATTTAATGGACATCAGTATTGTTTTAAAAGTAGTATATAATTGTTGGAAATGAAATTTCTTCTTCAGCAGTACTTGACCAAGTCACAAAATCTCAAGTCTTCTTGTTTTCTCATCAAAAAAGTGGTGAAAGTGGTTTCTTTCAGTATCAGTGTAGAATGGAAATACATTATATACTTATTTCCTAAATCATGAATTGAATTATCTTTTTAAATTTTCACATAATAAATATATATAATTACAAATATTTACAGTAGATTATTGATCACAGCTAAACTTCACAATAACTCACGATGCCACACTTCTACTTACACCTTACTCGTTAGGTGGCTGCTTAATACAGATTTAGTTGTACTAGCATGCACTTTTATATTTTGTTAACAATACTTAATATTGGAAGTTTTTATAAATAAAATTTAAATTTATCCAGAAAGAGAAATGCTATGTTGCATGTGCAGCAATAACTACTTTATTTTCTATCATAATCTGAGGACATATATAGTAGAGATGGCTGTTATAGGTATTAAAAACTTTTATTTAAAACACAAAACAAGTAGCAACATTTTAACTTCTTTAAGTCATCATAAGGTTAAGATTTTGATGATGACCTAAGGATGATAAAAAAAAAGTGTTACTTGTTGGTCTGTCATAACAAGTTGATTTTACATACTTTGTGTTAATCGAGGTTTTTTTTAATAATGTTTAGTTTTGAAATTGCAAATATTTGTAATTCCTTATCCGTTTACTACACAATGTTGTGATTGACTCACAAGCATTGTTAAGAAAGATTGTGCAAACTTTTCACCTACCTGTTATTCTTGCACAGCCAGAAGATTATGATCAAAACAATAACAAGAATAAGATGTATTGCAAGTGGCCATGACTGCTCATTTCCTTGTATACAGACATAATTGTCTGAAAGTTAAAATTCTGGATTGTTTTATGTAAACTAATAAATAGTTGAAAGATATAAAATTATTTAAAAAGCTTGTTCATTGCATTTGACTGGCTCTGCTCTCAGCTCTAATGATGCGAAGTTAAATTCCAATTTAATCGTTTTGCTGTCACATTGCTCCTTGAACATTTCTCGTTCAAGGGAAGCTAATGGTGTGGTAAGGCTTAACGCCATTACAAAACAATAACGCGGTCTGATATTCTAACAACTTAGGATGAATTTATTGTATTCTTGTGTAAATGAGACATAATTTAACTAGATATGTTTTTATTATTATTTCTTTGAAAAAATAAACAACTACAAAAATGAAAGGTAAAGAACACGTTGCATGTCTTAAGAAAACTGAAAATTGAAGTGCTCTGGTGATTCAGATTGAGTCTGAATTTCTATGACAAAGGTGTTTTATATTTTTAACATAATAGCTGAAAATACTTTTTCTTTGCTTCTAGGCACACCAGATTTTGTTAAAAGAACGCAGAAGTGAGACAGAAGATGAAAGCAAGGTAAAAAGCTTCCAACATTTTTCTTCATTTAAATGAGTGTTATCCCCTCATATGTCAGCATATAATAAAAGTTGCAAGATAAAGATTCATAGTTTTTCATAAAGAAAATCATGCCTTATTTCTTATTTATAATGTATTAAGTATAATAAGATTATAAACTTTTTCTCCCACTTTCAATTGTAGGTACATTTTAGAGCAAGAATAGTGCACTTTTGTCAAAAATTTCCCAATTGTTAAAATTAAAATAATCAAACAGATTCTTTATTAATAAATTTTTGCCACTGCTTTGGAAAAAAGAAGAAACATTCTCAGTTTACATGTTATGTAATTGTAATGTAAATCTGTGTGTTATGTGATGCAGTGATTCCAAATTAAAATTATTTAATGATGCTATTTTCTTTGTGAACTATGTCCAATATTTCTAACCTGGTTCAAAATTAACAAATTATGGCATAATCATCACGTGTTTTGAAATGTTTCTTGTTCACCAAAAATCAAATGCTATAAAATGACAACTAATATAGCGAAAAATAAGCACTCTTGTAAATGATCTAAGTGTTGTAGATGATTTTTTTGTATTCTGAAACTATTTGTTTAGACTTTTCTGAAAATCTTAAACCATGAAAGTAATAAAGAATGCAAATCTTTATTTACCTTTTTAAAGTTTAATTTTGAGCTACATGTAATTTTCTTTTTGACTAGTCCTTCAGTGGGTCAGCTGTAAGTTTACAGGCTTACAACACTAAAATCTGGAATTTGATTTGTAGTGGTGGAAGGAGTGCAGATAGCCCATTGTGTAGTTTGCACTAAGAAAACATAAATTTTTTGACCTAATTATAAATCATGTAAACTTTATGGACAACATAAGTAGTATGTAAGTTAATTATCATCTTGTTTTATCATCCAGACATATATTTTTACATGTTTGTGTGCCTAATAAGGAGGACTTGTACAAAAATATTAGGAAAATTATTGCTTTTTCTCCTAACAACTGACTATATGATTGTTCTCTTCCAGAAGCAGGATTTGTGTTCTACTGTACTGGGTCGGTTCCTAGAAGAACCTGATTCACATTGGGGGATAACAGCAAAATTAAAGAGTAGCTGCTCGGTGTGTGGGCTTCCGTTAACAGCTCAAACAAGTGCTGCATTACGGGGTATCACTGTATGTAGTTGTGGTAGGTATTGTGATTTTTTCTACGTAGTAGTAGTAGTAAATAGTATATATAGCAGGTAAGTTTTATTTGTCTTTTTATGAATAACATTATTGGTGTTTATTATTTATAATAATTATAATTGTGTATTACTGAAAATTTGAAGCACTTTTTTGATAGTAATTGAATGTGGCCGTTCATATAAGCTGACATAGCTAGTATGTGATTTCCTCAGGCTTAGGTTTTATTATTAAAGACCAGGTGATTTGAAGTTGCACATTTTCCAGTACACCATGAATCTAGTGTATCATGGAATTAGGCTGTAATGTTAGAGTGAATAAGATATACACATGGTTTTGGCACAATGTCATGTAGTTTCTAAACCTGTTGAGAACCAGTTAGGCCTGTAATGAGTTTGTGAAGTCGTGTATTGACAACATCAGTACTGTGCAACTGTGAATGTATTGTCATTGTCAAGAGTATAATAAATGTGTTTGTAGTTGTAAAAATGGTCGTGTATCATGTGTTATTGTATTATAGTGAACTAGTTGTAGTTTTTTTGTAGAACATCACAATGTAGTGTATATTTTATCTGTGCTTGTGTTAATTAGTGTATGTTTTTTATGTAGTTGGTCTTTCTCTGTGCAGTTGTGGTAGGTAGTTTGTTTCTTGTGTAGTTGCTGTATGTGGTGTATGTTTTATCGTGTGTGTTAAGGTTGTGTATTGTTTCTCAGTGTAGTTGTGGGTAGTGTATGTTGTTTTTTCTTGTAATACGTAGTATATGGTTTCTTAATATAACTAAGTGAGTGTTTTTTTTTGTAGTACATCAATATAACTAAACGGGTGTGTGTTTTTTTGCAGTGTATAATATATGGTTTCTCAATATAACTGTAAATGGGTGTTTTTTTTTGTAATACATAGTGTATGGTTTCTTTTTGTAGCTATTTTCTCTTGATAGTTGTAGTCGTGTATTACTTCCATATAATTGTAGGTGGTGTGTGATAACTCTGTAGTTGTAAATGGTGTGTGATTTCTCTGTGTAGTTGTAGGTGGTGTGTGATTTTTCTGTGTAGTTGTAAGAGGTGTGTAGATATTTTTGTAGTTGTGTATAGTGTGTGTTTTCTTTCTTTATAGGTGTAGGTACTGTATAATTTCTCTGTAGTTATGCACTGTGTATCGTTTCTCTTTAGTTATGCACTGTGTATCGTTTCTCTTTAGTTATGCACTGTGTATCGTTTCTCTGTAGTTATGCACTGTGTATCGTTTCTCTGTGTTATTGTAAATGATGTATCGTTTCTCTGTGTATTTGTATTTGATGTATGATTTCTCAGAGTAGTTGCAGGCTGTGTGTGGTTTCTCTGCAGTTGCAGGCTGTGTGTGGTTACTCTCTGCAGTTGTAGATGGTGTGTGGTTTTGTTCTGCAGTTGTAGGTAGTATATAGTTTCACAGTATAGTTGTTATATATATATAGTTTATATATGCTTTACAGTTATCCTACCAGTTTCTCAGAAATGTGAGTGATGAATGACAATCACTATTCATGCACTTTTCTCTTTTTCTATAGCCTGAGCTGATACATACATCAAGTAGGCTTTGAGAAAGTGCAGATAATTGTGTAAAGTTACGTGTACATTTCCTTTTTTAATTTAGTTGCTTGTAAAATAATCATTTAGTAAATTTACTGTTAAATCTAGTTTTTCCAGAAACATCTTATGTACTGTTAATATACTTTTTGCAGGTCATACCTATCATAAAGGCTGCCTCCCTGAAGCTTTCTGTATCCAGTGTTTGAAAACAGCACCCTCTTGATTGCATCATCAAATGTACAGTTCTGCTTTCTGTGTGTGGCATCTGGTAGCATGAATTACTGCCAAGGCTTCATTTGTCAACTGCAGTTTAAAACCAGTGCTTCATATGACAACAGAATAAGAAGATGGTTTGAAACTGACAGTAAAAATTAGTTGTTAGTTGATTTGTTATTGGCAAATTCCTGGTATTGTGTTTAATACAGCAGTCTCCAGTTACCCAAATTAGGGTGTGAGTACAGACTGTTAGAGTTGTATATACGTATATATATGTCAGATTTTAAAAGAAAGACATTTAATGAATTAAGCTTGTTTCATTCCACATTTACTCTTTATAAGCTTATTTCAGTAATATTTATTTATGTTCATTAGAAATTTGTTTCTGTAGTTGAGAAATAAGCTTAATTTTTTTGTCATAGTCAATTTTATATTGCTCTTCCATGTTCTTAAATCCATTTGAAATCCTGTTCTGAATAGTTGAGTAATCTGAACAAATCTGGTATCATTCTGTTATGTCACAACTACTAAACATTGCTCATGCTTTCTAACTTACTTGGTAGAAATTTCCAGGTGTGAAAACAGTGTTTACCCTCGTAACGTACTTAAAACAAAAAAAAACAAATGCTATTTCTGATTGCAAAAATTAATGCATTATATGACTATAGTTTATTAATGTGTAGAAAACAAATTTGTAAATATGTTCTAGAGCTACAAATTAGTAGTATAGTAATTAAAGAAAAAATATAATTCAGTTCTTGCAATTCAAGGCTTTAAAATAGAGAAATTAATTATCAGAAATAATAATCATATTGCTATATAATTATAATTTTTTTGGACTGATTAAAACAAAAAAAATAAGTGCTTGTAATGAACAGGCTGTTTTAACAACTTTTGTACTTGTTTATTATGATAATATCTTGTCTCTAATAAAATACCAGGCCAATTCTACATTATATTTCTTTTTAACAAGCTTGAAAGATCATTCATGAATAGTGTTTCTTGGAAAGAACAATCATAAAAGCTGAATTTGTCCTAAATTATTCATATGGTAATCAAACAGTAGAAAACTTCCCAACTGTATATAGTCCCGGTTAATGTTAAACTTACCTTGATTAATGAGTAGAAAAGGTAGCAAACAATTGGTGTAACCCAAGTGTACTTGGTCCAGTGTTAGTTTGTTTCTGGTAAAGAGTAAGTAGAAGACCATCTTATAAAGCTGTGTTTTGTGATAGACAAATGCTAGGATGGGATCATAAACTGAAACTGAGGTATGAGCTGGGAGATCATGTGCATACTGAAGGCTGATTTTTTTTTTTAATACTGAACTACATGTACTGTGTATTTAATATTTAATTTGTTAGTTCCTGGAATGTCTTATTTGGTAATACTTCTCATTACTCAGTTAACCAAACAGCATAAATAAAACTTTTATGATTGCAACATTATAACATTGGAAAATTTTCATTTTTAAAAACCTTTACTGAACATCACTTATGATATTGTCGTTTGGTGTGACTTTCCACCAACCTTCATGCTTTACTATTTATGTACACACATATTAGACCAATAAGAAACAAATGAAGAAACGTTTACAAAGAGACTTCTGTAGTAGAAAGCTTCTGCTGAATGACAAGAACACAAAAATGTAAAATGGTGGTTGCTTTTTTAGATTGTAAATAGCTTTTGAAAAATTCACAAGTTTTACTAAATTATTTCTGAAAATGATAGTTCCATTTCCAAATCAGTTTCAGTTTGCAAAAGGAGACAGAATAGTCAAAATACTGATTTTTAAAAATTTTGTATCAAAATATATTTAACTGTTTGATGTAGAAGATATGCTTAACATATCTATGTAGTGGCTCAAAGCTCAGTATGACATCTGAAATATGTAAAAAAGGTTTAATAGAACAAAAGGCAGACTAAAGTTATGTGTAGAAAGGACTAAGAGCTAAAATGTAAATCATTCATTGTTGTAAAGATTGGTTACAAATTTCTGCTAAACCAAAAGGTCAATATTTCTTTATTGTATTTTTACTGGCATATTTTTGTTAGTGTTTAGTGCTGTTAATAAAAAAAAAATTTCCCTCATTAAACGTACCCAATCATAAAATAAATAAGTTCTTATGCTAATTTCATTTGATTATATAAGAATACAAAATTCACTTTTGTGTGATTTCTATATTGCTCTAACGAAAGAGCCATGTGTTTTTAAACAGGAAACATAAATAGGCACATCAAGGAGTTGTTTTTTCATGAAGTTTGGAAATGTTATAATAGTTTACACATTTTATGTTGTTGTTTTTTCTTTTCTTCTTTTGATAATGTTTACTTACTATAGTTAAGTTTGTTTCATAAAAATGAACCAGTGAGCAAATATACTTTGATTAATTGCTTCTAAATGTATACATTGTATTACATAATCATTATTTTGGTCTAAACTGAGTCTGTATTGCATTTGCTTAATATTCTGTAGACACTTTCTGGTGGTACATGACCACCCGCCAAAGTAAATGGAAACATATTTAATGATAATAAAAATAGTACAAAATAGGTTGGGATACGGTGAGTTCATGTGTAATAATGAGGATTTATAATTAATGTTAAGTTACAGAATTAGGATGCTGATTTAAGGTGATACCAATACCTGTAGTGGGAGAAACATATATATATTTCTAAATCACGCATTCATGTCTTAAAATCAGAGATTCAAGAGATTGTAATAATTTTAGGTGTTTAAAAAGGTGAAGCCTAAACACCATGAAAGTGATGTTAATATCGTTGTTTAAGAAAGCCTTGTCAATTCTAGAAGCAATAATACTAGAATAATAATGAATAAATGTTAATTTGAAAATATGAATAATATTAAGTTTCTATGATAATTTGGTAAAATGTAACATGACCAATACTTCATGGTTGCCATAACATCCTTCAAAGCAACTAATCTTAAAATGGAAAAAAATTGAAACATTCAGTATTGTAGTATATAAAAAAGATGTCAAAATTACCAGCTGCTTCAGGTTCTGTACTTAACAAAAGAAATTTAATCAACCTTTTATGTTCAAAGAATAGTTTTATATCAAACTTTCAGAAGTATTAACCACTCCACAGCTTTTATTGTTGTTTTTTGCTGTCAATAGTTATTTTATATTATATTGAAGTCACTATTTGTGTGTTTTATATTTGTTGTTTTACTTACTCAGAACGTTTATTCCGTATGTTAAATGACAAATAATTTACATAGTATACTGTTATTGATAGTGTTTTATAATGCATTAATACTTAAATAATTTTTTTAATGGTGAGTTATATTTTTAAAACATGTAACAGAATACTTTTAAGTTATGTTGTATTATAAGTAACTGCTTATCAACTAAAGTTCAGCGAGCAGGCCTTATGTTAAATGACAAATAATTTACATAGTATACTGTTATTGATAGTGTTTTATAATGCATTAATACTTAAATAATTTTTTAATGGTGAGTTATATTTTTAAAACATGTAACAGAATACTTTTAAGTTATGTTGTATTATAAGTAACTGCTTATCAACTAAAGTTCAGCGAGCAGGCCTTATAAATAAAGTTAGGTATGTAAAATTCATTCATTAATTATTCCATGAATGTGTTTAAAAGGAGTTGAAACCTAATTTTGTTGTAAATATAATAATTTATGAACAGCTGTTTGTATGGAGTTAAAAACGTATCTATTGATGGGTCTTTTCCTTCTCCATCTCAAGGATATCATGAAAATAGGAAGTTTGTTAAAATGTTTGAGGTCTTTCTGTGTTATATCCCTTAGCCTACACAAATGTTTATTAAATTTTATTAAAAACTCTTGTAAGTAAGCTTATTTCTACTCAGTCATGTGTTTATTCCAAAAATCAAGCTATGAAAAGCCCTAAGAATGAACTCTGGTGTATAGACAGTATACAGCTGATAGTTATTTCCATTCTAATTTGTAATACACATTTCATCTAATGTAAAGTTCTGTTAGTTTGGCACATAGTGTATCTACACCTGCATTTTGTATAGTTCTTAATCATATATTGCTCATCTTATACCAATGACAAACCACTTAATTTTCAATCATGCTAATGATTATTATATATGTTATGATTTTTAGTGTTTGTATTCATCTAATTGGAAAACAATAGAAGATATTAGATGTTTGTGGAAAATAACCTTATCCATGATAAAAGTATGATTCAGTTAATTTTTGTATAATTTGTTTACAATTTCGTCTCCTGTATTTATCTTCAGTTGTATATCATATCCGATACTTACCAAGTCTGTGAATTAGTAAAGGAAATAGAAACAGTTACACTAAACTCTTGTATATTATCAAGTTTCTTCTTTGTACCAGAATAGTATTCTAGGCTTATTATCAGAATATATAAAAAAGACAAAGGCAAATTTCACTTTACAGCAGGAAAATGCTATTCATTTTCATAAACTGTAGTCGAAAATATTTCAGATTTGCTTGTTGTTTGGGGTAAGTCTTGTGTGCCATACATAAACAGTTTTGTATGTAGAGATTTTTTTAAACATGATGTAAAATAAATGATTCAGTGTTATAGTGATTTCTAAGTTATTGCTGGTTGTTCAGCAGTGTAAAAATCATTTTTTTCTCAGTTTTTTATTACTAGTTTGTATAGAAGCTTCGTCCTGCTGTGTGATCAAATAAGTTAGCTGTCCTATTCTTTTTCTGTACAATTCTAGAAAATATACGAGAAATTAAAAAAATTGTATATGAATTTGATCTGCATTTCCTTGTAAATTAGTGACTTGTGACCCTCTAATATGTAATTTGATTTAATTTTGGTTTTGTAAAATGCAATAGGCCTATCATAGCATATTTTAAAATAATTAGGATTCTTCATTAAGTCTGAAGGAAACTAACTCGTATTAGAATTGGTGCCTGGAAACTTGACCTGCGATATATTTATCAGGCTAGAGTGAGCAATTGAAGATTTAATTTCCTTTATTATTATATGCCATATCTCAATTAACTTGCAACTGGTTCGTTCGTTTGTTTATGATATATATATGAATGTGTGTGAGTGTGTGTGTGTGTGCACGTGCATATGTGTGTTAAAAATGCGAGTCATCAATATTCACTGGACTTCTAATTACCATAACGACAGAATGTCGGTCTATGATATTGGTAGTGAGATGTCCTTGTTATATGCTGGTATACTTGATTACTGTTGATCTGACGACGGTATACTTGATTTCGTGACAAGCAACGTGATTTAAATATATTGATTACTGTTGATCCGATGAAACTGTCACCAAATCGATCTGTTTACTGGAATTACATTCAAACAGAACTGCCACGGTTACTGTTACCAACATTGCTATGAACTTTACAGGTGATACTGAAAGTCAGTTCTCACAGAAAAGCACCGTCAAACTTTATTTGGAAATATTACATTGGTGTCATTTTATTGACAAACTTAATGCCCGGCCAGGTGGTTAGGGCGCTCGACTCGCAATCTGCGGGTCGCGGGTTCGAATCCCCGTCACACCGAACATGCTCGCCCTTTCAGCCGTGGGGGCGTTATAATGTGACGTTCAATCCCACTATTCGTTGGTAAAAGAGCAGCCCAAGAGTTGGCGGTGGGTGGTGATGACTAGCTTCCCTCTATGCTTAAACTGCTAAATTAGGGACGGCTAGCGCAGATAGCCCTCGTGTAGCTTTACGCGAAAGTCAAAACAAACAAACATTATTGACCAATTGACAGACCACATCTTCACAATGCTGCCACTCCATACATTTTAAACAAAGTATCACCCTCAATGATATATTGTATAAAAGAATTAGTAGATGGTGTAAGAACTAAATGCTCAGTCAGAAACTGCTTTTGTACAGTCCACTTATGTTATAATAGTGTTTCATGTTCAGTTCAAAGACATCACACGTATAGTGAAAAAAGATTCGTTTAAGATTCGTTTATACTGAAAATAACATTGTGTTTCCTTCCAGAATTAAAAAGAAACTATAAGAGAAAGATATCCTTATAATGAAGACTACTGTCAGGTTAATCACAATCCATCACAGAATGGTTGTCGTCCGTAATAAACGTCAAATATAAAGAGAAATGAAAACTTGACACACTTCAAGCAAACTTGATCCAAAGTACTGAAGATGTTACTTGTACAGCAAACTTGATCCACAATATTAAAGATGTTACTTGTACAACAAACTTGATCCAAAGTACTAAAGATGTTACTTGTTCAGCAAACTTGATCCAAAATATTAAAGATGTTACTTGTACAACAAACTTGATCCACAATATTAAAGATGCTACTTGTACAACAAACTTGATCCAAAGTACTAAAGATGTTACTTGTACAGCAAACTTGATCCAAAGTACTAAAGATGTTACTTGTACAACAAACTTGATCCACAATATTAAAGATGTTACTTGTACAACAAACTTGATCCAAAGTACTAAAGATGTTACTTGTACAGCAAGTTTGATACACAATACTAAAGATGTTACTTGTACAACAAACTTGATCCACAATATTAAAGATGCTACTTGTACAACAAACTTGATCCACAATATTAAAGATGTTACTTGTACAACAAACTTGATCCAAAGTACTAAAGATGTTACTTGTACAGCAAGTTTGATACACAATTCTAAAGAGTTTATTTGCATAGAAACGTGATCTAAAGTGCGAAATGGTTTACTTGCACGAAACTTGTCACCATTTAGCTTACGCAGTGTAAATTAGTTGCGTTGGATAATCTCTTAGAAAGGGAGCTTCCCTTTCTAAGAACCAAAAATCTTCTATACATCTACGAGTTCATTGAATCATAATATAAGTACTAGTTCTTTAAATCACCACACGCATTTACTGGTTCATCAAATCATTCTGTCTTCTGGCTCATAAAATTGTTATATCTGTAGTTTATCTCACACAGTAATAGTAGTATAGATTTGAACTGTTATGTAATCTCTTACAGTAGTGCTCATAAACTTGAAACGATATATATATATATATATCCTCCTACAGTAATTCATATCAATTTAAAACGATGCATTATCTCATACAGTAGTGTACATGAACTTGAAAATATATATAACCTTATACAGCAGTGCACATAAACTTGAAAATATATAACCTCGTACAGTACTGCACATAAACTTGAAACGTGAAATAATCTCATAAAACTGGATGTAAACTTCAAACGATATATAATATCATACAGTAGTTCGTATAGGCCTCCAACGATAGATATCTCGCCCAATTATACTTACGAGCTTGAAATGTTATATAATTTCATACCATAATACATATAAATTTGGAACAACAAAAATATCATGAAGTAGTGCATATAAATTTCAAATATGGATATTCTCATAAAGTAGTACATAGAAACTTAAAATGTTAGATTATCTTTGGCATTAATTATATAAACTAGATATGTTAATCTCATGAAGTAGTGAGGCCCGGCATGGCCAGGTGACTAGAGCGCTCGACTCTCAATCAGAGGGTCGCGGGTTCGAATCCTAGCACCACCAAACATGCTCGCCCTTTCAGCCGT